GCTTTTGGGTGACCGATCACTCCGAGTGGACATAGCAGAAGGCAGAAAACAGGATAAAGGTGGCTTTGGCTTCAGAAAAGGTGGCGGGCCTGATGACAGAGGTGATTTTCATTTTCGTAAATAGATTCTTAAATACAGCAGCTGGAGTTATGACTTCTGGTGCTAACTAATGCATGCAAGGCACGCAAGAAAACACAAAGACAGTAGTGGAAAGAAAACTTGTATGTACCTAGTGTAGTTGCTGCCGCTCCTGAAATTGCTGGAATAGATGTGCTTCGTGTCCCAAAGCTGCGTGTGTGTCACTGCTAACCTTGGAAGTGAGACCAATCCCCCTAGCACTGTGCAGTCTCTTGCAGAGGACAATAATAAGCCCAGTGGTCTGATCTGCTACTATTTTATTAGTGTGTAAAAATGAGTAATCAAAGTAATCACAAGTGTATGAATATGTATTTTGTATATATTGTCTGATGTTCCAGTGTAAGAACAGGCTTTTCTGTAGCTGCAGAACTTAATTGAACTACATTGACTGGAGCTTTTCATCAGTCTGGTTTAGAGGAGCTTTTCTGACCATTCGTTCTTGGTTAACAAAGCTGATCTTTTGTTCCTGTCCAATGGAACTTGGTGGTACTGAGATGAAGGGATTTTCCAGCAGCATGACTTTGGATATGGAAGGACTGGACTTTGGTGTCCCCTTATCAGTCTTTCCCACAGCTTTAGACCTGAACACAATTGTGGCTTTTTTCCTAGGAATGGGAGGAGGTTCCCGAGAATCCAGAGGAGGTGGATGGGATTCCAGAGATGACTTCGGTTCTGGTATCAGTATTAACACTTATAAGATAGGCGGCCTAAAAGGCACAAATGTTCTCATTTTCATGTCAGCTACGTTTGTCCCCATTTCTGTTTTGACTCAGTCTACTGTATGCCAACTTTGGACATCCTGTGGCTGCAGTGGGATTCTTCAGGGGAAACTTCAATTGCTTTATAACAGGGGAAATGGTCCTCATTTTAAGCGTTATGAAGTGATCTTTAATATCAGAATACTAGATTGAATGTAGTCTGGGATGTCTAGGTTTCAAGCACAGCATTTCTCACACATGAGCCCAAGTACATGTTTCAGTAGTAGCAGAAACAGACAGGCCATGTGGAAAAACAGATATTGGTGCTGCATTCTCTCAAAGTAGAGGCTTTCACCTCTCAAGAGGTTGATAATGTAATGCCATGTGAAATGCGTACTCCTGGAGCAAATGATACCTCCAAAGTTGTGTTAGTTCCAAAGCACTTTTAAATAGAAAACATTCCTCAAAGTCAGGTCTGTTCTGGTAATGCAAGTTGCAGCGAATGACTGAACTTGCTGAGTGAAAGGTACTCATGGAGCTATTGTTTATTTTTGACTTCCAGTTAGTTTCCAGTTATTAGTGTCCAGGGTGATATTAACTCAAGTGCTTTTGTCCTCTGAACTTGTGGGTTTGGTCCATTTTCTGATGGGGAGATGTCAGCAAGTGCAACTGTGCAGTGTCTGGTCTCTGCATGAGTGGAATGGACAAAGTAGGAGAGGTAACCATGAGCTGCTGGCATGGAACTCAGCATGGTGCTGGAGAGAGGAAGCTTGCTACAACGCTGTGCTTAACCTGCCTTCGTAGCTAAGCATTCTGGTGTCGCAGCCTTATACCTTTACTGGCAGCTTCTTCAGATGCACATTTCAGCTGGCTAGGTGCTGGGTGAGTGATTTGTGTGCTGAAGTTTAGCATTGAAGTCTTACTTGGTACAGAAGCTTTTCTTCTCAGGTTGACTTGCTCTGGATCAAGTCTTAAAGATTGCTGTTTGGCACTGAAGTAAAGGACAGTTCTGCGACTCTGCCAAATGCTAAATTGGAAAGGAGAATTTCAGATGGGAATAAAACATCTTTCCCTTCCAAGCAGCTTCTAAAAAAATTGTTTCACTTAGGTATGCTGCTAGCCTGAAATATCTTCCTACCATTGAGAGCTATCGGGGGATATTCCAGGATGGTCACTGGTGCAGAATGGAAGTTGGTCAGTGACAGGTAGTTCTTGGTCGCTTTTGGTACACAAACTGAAGAAATGTAGTCAGCTTCACATTTAAAGTCTGTTTTTTTTTTTCTTAGCTCTTTCATTAGTCAAGTAGATCCCTGGCCATTTTATAGTATAGTTGAAAAGCCTTGGTTTTGCTCCATTTTTCAAAGGCCTTCTTAAGGATTGTTTCATTACTCCCTGGCTCTTTTCCCATTTGCTCTGCTCCTGCAGGTTTCATGCTAAGGCTGCGGCCAGTGTGATCTGTCCACAGCAGAACCCAGGGTACTTGTAATGTTACCTCGTCATTCAGCTTCTGGTGTTAACAATCTGAAGTTGCAGCTGAAGTTCATACTTTAATGGTGCTTGGTAACCTGATTTCAAAGACTGAGTATGAAACAAGCCTCTAGGTGGATAAAGCAGGTTCTGAACCTGGCATAGCGCACTGGATTTCAAATGCAATCTGTATGACTCTTCCAGAATGCGTTAGATCTGTGAAGCAATCTGTCTACAGACAAAGGCTCTCAGTGCATCATCTTGGACTGACAGCTGTGCCTTGCGAGGTTTTCCAGTCATCCAGATAAATCTAGATAAAAGCGTTGTGAAATGTGCTCCTTACATTCACCATCTTCCTTCTTCAGGATTCAAAGATGATGACTTCTTGGGAGGCCGGGGTCGAGGCACTCGCCCTGGAGACCGACGACCACCAGGTGCCTCAATGGGAAGTGGTGGCACTGGTCGTTTCCGAGATGGGCCTCCCCTTCGTGGATCTTCCATGGACTTCAGAGAGCCAACAGAAGGTAAACTCCTTTTCTCTAGTGTAATTCAGTCTTCATGAATGACACGTGTTTTTTCTTCATCAGGCTAAAGCTGCTTGCCCTTTGCAGAGTAGTCTGAAAACCTCACTGTTTTGTCTTGCAGAGGAAAGAGCACAGCGACCCCGGCTTCAGCTCAAACCTCGAACAGTTGCTACTCCCCTCAATCAAGTAGCCAACCCAAATTCTGCTATCTTTGGTGGAGCCAAGCCCCGAGAGGAAGTAGTAAAAGAGCACGACTGAGCTTGGGGTTGAGAGGGAATGGGGAGGCGGGAGAAAAAGCAAGACAGTACAGAGTGACTAGCTCTGCTGGAATGTCAACCCTGCAGTTTACCATTCCTGCCATCTGGCATTTGTCCTCTTTGAAACTGAAAACACAGAGCTTGTGAATGCATGTCAGCTGTTAACAAGTGGTTTTTAGTACGTTCTTGGCTTTGCTGTATCTAGTGCCTGCTTTGTGCTGAGTTTCCTCTTCTGTTTCCTTCCAAGCAGCACAGTTGCCAGTAGATAAGGCAGTGTAGCTGCTTCCACAGGTGTGGAGGTCTCTGGACAAAGGTGCTGCTTCACTTCCTCCTTTCTGGGTTTGTTTTACTTTAGAAGCACAGGTTAGACTTAGTTATTACCCTGTATTGTTTCCTTTTACTTCCTCAGTGCTCCTCTTCTGACCTGCATGTCTCGTTCTGTATTGCTGTGGCTCTGAAGAGGAAAACTGGAGAGTCCAGATGAGTTGAGCGGAGTAACTTTCAGTTCTAACCATGTAGTGAAATACCATTTAGGACAATTAATGACTTACTGTATCCAGCAGGGCCCCTTAGAGAGCTAAGGGGGGAACTGCCCTTTCACACAGGTAACCAGGAAGTATCAATTGAATAGATACAAGTCAAGTTGGCTGGCAAGCCTGGTGGATAGGTGGAAGCAGTACGGATAAAGCATCTCCCAGCAGCCTGTTGCTGCTGACTGATAGAATTCAAAATGGTATGATACTACACCTCGGAGCTCAAGGTTAGTGCTGCAAAAATGTGCCCGAGCACAGCTGCTCACTGGCTTTTTCTGCTTACATTTCTTTGGGTTTTACATGTTTGGTAAATTTTTAAATGAAGTTTCTACAAATAAAATTGACTTTTTTATTTTTCTTTAAGGAGTATATACTTTGCCATGCAGTATGTAATTGTCATTACCCCCTGTTTTTCTTTGCCCAGTGGTGTACAGTTTTAAGACCTCTGCTTTGAGAATACCATGAAAATGGGCAGATTAGAAGCTGTCATGAAATAGATTCTCTTCCTGTAGAAGTTTGGGTGAAAAGCATCTCTAACCGCTGCATCTCTGAACTTGAAGTGTTTCTCACCAGCATTGGGAGTGTTCTGTGTGGGAGGAGGGAGGGGAGGTGGAGAGGCTGGAGCTAAGGGGGAGAGCATTCATGTTTTAAAACAGCCTGGATCTCTAACACTGAAGTGCAGACACGTCCAGTGTGCAAGGAAAAACTTGGGCCCCTAACACTAGTGCTGACAGCTCCCAGATAAAGCAGCCGGCACACCAGAGCACTTCCAGAAGAAGTCTGGAAGCATGGCTGCTTTACTGCCAGCGTCACTGCTAGTAGGGAATTCCTTCTCGGAAGTTTGTTTTGTAATGTCAGAGTCCCAGCAATTTACAGAACTACTCTTTCCTTCCTTCTGCCTGTCACTTAATCTGCTTTTGAGATAAGAACCATTTGTCTAACACTAATAATTAATTTAAGACAGACATGCATTTGTGTGGTTGTATTCCAAACCAATAATTGACCTATTTACATCTTCAATGTGGAAAAGATTTTAAGAACAAATTCCCATATAAAAACTCACCTCTAGTCAAGACAGTTGACTTTTAAATGTAAAAATGAAAAGGAAAAAAAAAAAAGGAAAAATTCCAAACACTTAACACATTCTGCTTCATAACAAAATAAATTTATGGATATGGTATTTTGTGAATGATCTTTTAAATAAAAGAAAACATTAAGTAATATTTAACATTGGTCTTTATTTGAGTCTGCTCTAGCTTGTGTCCCCCTCCTCCCCTCCCAAAGTTCTCCAACATTGCTTTAATCTGGAATTAACAGGCAAAGAAATGAGGTGGGGGGGATTGGAAAAGAAAAAGGGAAGAAATATGATCTAAGCAACTGCTGGGAACATGTAGGAGACAGTGAAGTAAAAATTCTGTAGGAGTGGAGGCAAGCCCAAGTTTTGTCCTGTGGCTTCAGTACAACCAGCTGTAGTGCAAGGGCTGCCTGGCAGCGTGGAAGTACTGTGGCCTGCAGTGAGGGAGCTCTGGGTGGCATTTCCCAGCAGCTGGGCTCTGCTACTCTGAACACAGAGCCCTGCTGGTTGAGGGCAAGCTCTGTCCTTCCAGGCTGGGCAGTGGTCTGTTCCATACGGTGTCTTTGAGGTGAAACTGGTCAGCTTGCTAGTGTTCTGCCCAGTTTCTTCCAACTTTTTTAGCTGTCTTGTTCCCTACTAGACCTAGCTGTTAACGGTGTCTTTAAAGTATGTGCATACTGCAGGGTAAGCCAAGAGCCATGTTTTTTATTGAGGAAATGAGCCCTGACCTTCCTGCTGGTTTTACTGCTTCCCATAGCATGAAAGGGTGGGAAGTGTTCTGTCTTCCAGCGATTCGGTCCGCTCGCTATCCTCAAACGTGCTCTTAGGGCAGCTTGAGCAGAGAATCCAAATCCTCTGCAGTGACTCACTGAGGCAGACTGCAGCACCAGCCTGTCCCACCTGAATATCTCCTGAGGTGTAGCAGTAGGGCTGGCTGGCTGGAGATGGTGGCCTTCAGCTGCTTCCACAAGGCTTGCTCGTAGCTGGTCTTGCAAACCTAATGAGGGAGGCAATAATTTTATCCCTCTGCGTGGTGAAAAGTACCACTGCTGTGTGAGAGACAAAAAACAGCTCTTGTTCAAATAGTGTTTTTCTGTACCTACTAACCTTCGAGTCAAGGGTCTCCCACTGATGAAAGCAGCCAAATCCCAGTATAATTTTACCTTTTTTTAGTAGTTTAATAGATGTGTACATTTTGTGTTGCCTGGTTGTTTGGTTTTTTTTTTTTTTGGAAGGCTCTGAAATATGCTTCCCACGTGGCATGGGGTCAGACTCTTCCACTCCTTTTTCCCCTTCAAATGTGTAATTAACATTTTCCTGTAGAGATCAAACCAGCTTGTGTCAACAGCTGACAAAACTTTTAATTTTTGTATGGTTGTGTCATTTCAGTTTTGTAGGAGGAAGCAAGACTTTTTCCCACCTCCCACCAGCAAAGGGCAGCTCAGGTTTAAGCTGTAATGCTTGTTACCTGCAGCTTGAGGCTAAACCTGGCATGGCAAAGCCTAGACCAAGGAGGTTACCAGCAGCAGCAGTAACAAACAGATAATTCCCTCTGTGGCTATTCATACTCTCACTACGTTATTTCTAGTAGCAGTGCTGAGTTTTCTTCAAGCTTGAACTTAAAAATGAGCAAAACTGCAGCAGGAGGGTAGTAGACAGGTTTTGGTACTGAAATTAAATGAAGGCATAGCTCTGCTTTGCTGCTGTGGAACAAGCTTTGTGTTCCTGCAGGGGGGTTGCAGCTTGGGAAGGTTGGTGTGATGACTGGGGGCACTGTGGGTGAATGCCCAGGAGTAAGCAGCGTGCACCTAACGTGCTGTGAAGCTGTGCTGTCAGCACCCCAAAAATACAAACCACAGCTCCCACACCCAGGAGCAGCTCTCAGGGAGCAGCCCATGTGCTGTGGCTGTGACTGCTGTTTGATGGCAGGAGAAACAAGTGGAGGAGCATTCTGCTGCAGGGGCGATGGGCTGGTGCCTGGGTCTAGTTAGAGTTGTGCCCATGGGGGTGGCTTCCTTGCCTCTGGGAAGCAGCGGTGAGATGCACTGGGACAGCAGGAGAACCTCCAGTGTTGCCTGTGTGTTGGGTGTTGACCACGTGTTGGGTGTGCCAGAGCGATCACAGCCAAGAGTCCCTGTCCCAGGGCAGTTTGGGGCAATGCTGGTATTTTACAACTTGTCTTATGATTTCTGTCATAGTTTCAATGCTGACTTCAGCACATAGACTAGGAGCGTTTGCTACCTGTAGCACTGACTGCTGGCTCCTCTTCAGAAAAAACAAGATCTTGAATTTTAGAGCAAATCCTATTGCAGCGTATCCTGTTTGTAGAAAAGATTTAATAATCAAGCTGGTAAACTTTGAAATGCACCCTTTGTCAGAGCGTTCAGCACAGTAACTTTCACAGCCACCCCTGTGCCCCTGACTGCTTTCAGCAAAGCTCCTCGGAGTGGCTTTTCCAGAATCTCCCTGTTTGCCTGGAGCGTGTCTTCGGACAAAGCTGAGTGTAGATGGCTGATTTCCTAAGCAGACCTCGTTCCTTCTCAGTGCATGAAGTACGTCTCAGGGTTGTTCAGGCTGGCTTTCAGCAAGAACACAATCAGTGAGCTGTGAACTCCGGGCATCCTTGAAACTATGTGAAGTTGACGTTCTGCATTCTGAGGGTTTCTGGGTTTCGCTACCAGAGGAGCCCAGAGGCTCTGGAGGAACGAGGCAGTCAGTGCATATCTCCTGGCATATTCTAGCGCCGCATCAGTTACTTTGGGGGCATTTTTTCTGGACTGGATTTTTGGGATTCCATTTTGTAGGTGACGCTTGTCTTAAAGTTTTAGAAAGGGGAGTTTCTGTGGCTGGAGGGGAATCTGATTTCCAGCTGACTGGAATATTTCTAGTCTGGCAGCTGAATCCCCCCTCTTATGTGTCACTTATCCCAGTACAGGCTTTTAAGGAATCGAGTACATATGAAGCAGCAGAGGGCTGTTTTTTAGCGTGTACATAATAGCACATTTATACAGTCTGCAGTTTATTCTGTTACTTGTGATACCACTCGGTATGGCAGTATTAAATCAATCAGGGGCATTTAAAACCGTGTGATCATGTTCTTGGACTCCGCTTTCTGAACTGATTTAATCCTTCGGTGCCAGACGCTCGACTGCCAGGCCTGGTGCACGTTAGTAACAGCACTATCCTGATGGCATTGCAAGCCCTGGGCTAACTGGGAAATGTCCTCAGAAAGCTGTGTGTGTGCAGCGTGCACCTTTCTGCTCGTTAGGGGCTGTGCAGGAGCTTTGCTGGTTCCTCCCCTGCTTAGCTGGACAGGAGGGCTGGCAGGTGGGGTTCTGGTAGCACGCTGTTACGCTGTGCGTAGGGTGCTGCTACTAGGACTGAGGTCACGTTCCTCACGTTACTGTAGCTGCTCGGGTTATTAAATCTGAAGTATTTCACAGTTTCCTTTTCCACAGCTGCAATAACTGTTACATGGCACTGCCTGCCCAGCGGCAGGCTAATTTTAACACTGGCTTCCCTCGTTTCTGTCCCTTTTGCAGAAAAGGCTGTCCAAGGGCTTTAAGGATCTTCAGCGCTGTTACAGAAACAACCTGCTTACCTGTAAGCTCACGAATTCTTGTGCAAAGCTCTTAGAGTATCCCAGGGTTGGTGTCGTTGCTGGGAACACTGCTGGTTGCCACCTTTCTGCCCGGTAGGTCGCAGCCAGGTTAGTGTTCAGCACGGCAGGGATTTGCTTCCTACTACGAGATTGTTTTGTTCATGTCACCGTGCTCCCAAGACCCGCCTCTTTCCTTTAAATAAACCAAAAAAATCACCAAGTACCTCTATGAACCCCGGCAAAATCTGTACTGTAACGAATCTGTAAAATTTATATTGCTGTAAAAAATTAAATAAAAGCATTCAAACCTTCTAGGTTTTTGTGTTCAAATATAAGAATTATTGTGTCAGCAAGGATGAACCGAGCAGGATAAGAACGGGAAGAAGCTTTACAGCACCATAGGGAGGCGCAGAATTAGTCCTTTCAAGTCTTACTTGGCCAAAATGCGTAAAGCATCTGGAAACCCTAGCTGTGAGCTTTCTTTCCACTGGGTGGTAGCAGCTCGTATCTTCGGCTGTAACAGAGCTGCTTTCAGTTTCGGCTCGGTGAGATCAATTTGCAGTGGGGCGTGCAGCTGGGGCAGGGTGGGAGGTGCCACTTCCCCTTTAGCTGGGGAAGTGCTCAAACTGTAGCTTAGAGGAAAGACGGTTCTTGGGCTTCACAAAAACGTGTGCGCTCCGTTAGCAAGTCAGAAAATTTCCTCCAAGACGTGATTTTTCGTTAAAGCTGCCATGAAAACTTGGCAAAAACTCAAGTAACTTGTGGTCGGGGTGAGATGTGCTTGCTCTGGTCCCAGAGCTTGCAGGGGGGGTTGATCTGTGTGCAGGTCTCTCACAGTGTCACTGGTAATCTACTTGCAAAATTTATGAGCCCCAGGAGAAAGATCCTGTTGGAGCTTGCAAAGCTTTCCTCAGAACTTTAAGCGTGTCTCTGCAGAAAGGCCAGATTTAGATTTTTTTTTTCTAATCACAGTTTCTCTGACCAGCATTAGCTGTTAGCTCCAGCAAATGCAGCTGGTGATCAGACCCCACCTTTACCAGAGGATGTCACCTGGCCCCCAGGGCATTCAGCAGGTAAGCTGGGGCCAGAAGCTGCCTTCCCACGGCCTCTCTGGGCCCCAGGAGATCTTTCTGCAGCTGGGTAGCAGAAGGAGGGGGAAAAAAAATAGAGTTGGGTTCATTGGTAAAACGGACTGAAGGTAAATGTGCTCACAGGGGAAAGACAGGAGCTGAAATGGGTCAGCTTTGAAGGGACAAAGATGGAATTGTAATGTGTTTCCCATCAGTTATTGCAGCAGATAAAAGCGTGTTGCGCCCTTCTTTGGCTTTTTACCAGGCCAGAAATGGTTTCTAGCAGTGGGTACAGATGTGCCACGGGGATTGCGAAAGTGTCAGGCACTGCGTGGAGCCTGATACCAACATGAGCAGAGTTTGATGTTTGGGAGCAGAACTTGTGGCTGTGTTGGTGGCCACATGGAGCGAGGGCTCTGACGCTGAAGCGCTTCTGGTGAGAAATATAAAATATATATCTAAAAAACATAAAGATGGACGGGAAGTGGTGTCTGTGTAGCCATCTGCCTTGCTGAGTAAGGCGAGAAAAGGGCACGATCAGCCTTGTGGAGGGACTGACGTCCTCAAAAGGCATCACTCGACCCGAGGGCTGCTGTAATATACTCAAGGTGACCCCACTGCCTCATACGGCCAATTGTCCTCGCTAACCGTGCCGCTCCTCGGGCACTGCAGTGGCTTTTACCCTGCAGGGGCTGGGCAGCCGGGACGATGGGCGCCCAGCACGAGGTGCCTTTGCTCCAGCCCGTGCCAGCCTTGGTAAGGTCCCTGCGGAGGCACTGAGTCATCTCTGAAGCTGTGGGGCGGATCAGAGAGGCTGCGGGCAAGTAAAGGGTCTCTTTTTAGCACTGGTTGTTCCTAATAAATTAATAAACTTCTTCTGATATGAAAAAGGAGAACTGTAATTGTCCCCAGCATAGTCAGAGCAACGGTTTTGCTATAAGCAACATTTTTTTTAAAGCTTCTGTCAGCTGCTTATGTTTAAATAGATAAATGCTGCTAAAAAACACGTAATAAACTACTTCATAGCTGTGAGCTCTGCCAGAAAAGCCCGTTTCGTAGCAGCTGGACCAGCAGTGGGAGGTGGTGCAGTTTGCATCCCGTGCACAGAGCCACGCGTACGCCCTACAAGCCATTCACAGCTGGCTCTTGCTCTTCTGGCCTCTGGTTCAGCCCCCACGCACTGAGTTTTTCGATCCATGCCTGGATTTCACACGGGAGCCCTTTATTTTTGCACCTCTGGTTAGAATCGGAGTAGATAAAATCTAAATTTGAGCGCATAGGCGCAGACGGTGGTTAACTGTCTTGGCAGAGCAATGTTTCCTCTGACAGCCTGATAGCAAAGTTCCCATCCCGGAGTTGCGGACGCTGTGAGCAGATGATTATTTTATCATTTTTGTGATAGAAGAGTTCCCTTCTGGGGGAGAGAGGGAGAGGGAAGGTTGCAGCTCACTGGCTGCAGCATCTCGAGGGCGCCCCGGCTCATTTAAATACAACAAAATTTCCCTTGGCTGAACGATTTGCATGCCCGTATGTATGTAGTGCCCTGGTGAGAGGTGGCGTGAGGCGTTTTGTTTGCAGTTGTAAAACGTGTGCCGGGCTGGCTGTTGCACTCTGCCAGCTATAAATACACGGGGCTGCCGCGTGCACGTCCTATTCTTAGAGCAGGATTCGTGTCCCTGCACCACGTCGGGGCTTCAGGCCAGCAGTTACCCCCGAGCCCTTATTCATAACCCCTCCTTAGTCTTTTCAAGTGCAAAAGAAAATCATGAGCTACTGTTTTGGGGTTGTTTTACTGGTTTTTTATCAGTGCAGTGCGTTTGTGCTTGCCATCTGCACGCTGCCGCTGCTGGAGCACGAGACAAGGTTTTGTTCTTACTGCCGGGCAGAAGGGGTCTCGGTGGGGCTGCCAGTCTGGCCGCTAGCAGCAGTGCCCTCCGGCTCTGCGCTGCCCTTCCAAGGCTCATCCTGTCTGTAAAACCTGAGAGAAGGCTTCCAACTTAGCTCGCCTCTTCCAAGCTTTGTCAGGCAGCGCCTGCCGCAAGTAACGCTCAGCGCAGCGATGATTGTCCCGAGGCTCTTTGCTAGAGGGGAAACGACTGCGGGCGTTGAATGTTTGAGGGGCATCAGCCGAATCTGGAGCTTGAGGGCTCTGTCAGCGTGCGTGGCTCTCACCCGAGCCTCTTCCTCTCCCCCTGAGGATCTGAACGGCTTCTGCAAGAGGTGGCTCTGTGCGAGCACCGCCCGTGGGGCTCCTGTGAGCCGGAGAGGGGCTGACCGGCGGCCGGCGGCGGATGTTGGGGTTAATGATTCAGATGGTGACAGGAAACCAGCAGCTGGCTAACGATCCTCTCCTCGGAGGAACCGGCACTCGGAGGCGCGTGAGGAGCTGGGACGCATGGGGACGGCCGGCTGAGGTTGCAGGTGAGCTGGGACGGGCGGGTGGCACCCAGGCTTTGGGGACACGCAGGTGGTCCCGACGGCGCAGTGAGCTCGCAGATCCCAGGCTGGAGCTCAGTGAGTGTTTTAGCTAAGGTTTGGGGTCGCCCCTGCCAGATTTCTCTGAAACACGCCGCGTTACTCCCTGCTGCTGCTCATGACCACCATCTGATGAGCTCTGAGGTAGGAAAAGTGCCAAATAAAACCCCTCCGCAACATTTAGACCCCTTGAGATGAGAGCCCACCACGTGCAATCCGGTTTGCCTGTTTTACGCCGTCATTTTTTACATCTCCTGTTCCCCTCTGCTGATGGCAGGGCAGCTTTTTTAAACTGTGTTCCTTCCGCATTTGTTTCTACTAAAATATTCTGGGCATTTTGGGGTCCCCGTAGCATGAGCAGGCCGTGCTGAGCTGCCATCCCCACGGATGTGTCCGGTCCTGCTTTGGGCTCCCACTTCTGGGACCGCTGCACCCCACCACGTCTTCCCCTCCACAGCCCAATCCCATAAAACAGCTGATTTTCACTACAGTTTTTGGATTTTCCATGTTTTAGGGCTAACTGGCACCTTATGAATGTGTTTATTTTACTCTGTATTAGTGCTTGAAATAACTAACCCCAGACAGAAAATAGCTCTTTGTCCTTGCATCAGTTTTCTCTTGTGATCAATGTTCAGCGTAATGGGGGCTGTGAGGTAGACTCGTTAGGAAAACTGGGGATAATTGTGGGATAATCCTGGCTGATATCAGCTCATGTTCATTACTCGGGGGTAAATAGGAGTGCTTGTTACATAGGGGTACTTACTTCCAGGCACACAAATTCCCTGTATCTTCGGTGCCTATCTTGCATCCCCCCGGACTCTGCAGGGAAGGGCGTTGCATGGCTCAATGCTGCCCAAACCATGGAAAATTAGGGACAGTTACAAGATATTTCCATGGAATTCGTCCTTATGCTGACGTGCATGCATGTGATTAGGATTTTGTGCTGTATTTTCCAGCTGAGGCTTTTAAAAGCATTTTATAAAGTGCTCGTCTATTCGGGAGTTCATTTATCAATTCAGTTGTCCCTCTTGTCCTGTGTCCTACTGAGATGTGCCTCCCGCTCTCCTGGCATCAAATGAAGCATGCTCTACTTGAATAGCTGTACAAAAACAGATTGTATCTATACCACAGCAGTTTTCTCAAGAAAAAATGACACTGGCATCAAATCAGGTAGAAAATGGGGCATGCAGACCTCTGGAAGGAGCTTGCCTGAAGGCTCAGCACTGGTCATTGAAGTGGTTCCAACCACAGGAGCTTCCTTTGGTCTGAGACTTCAGTTTCTAAGTGGATGGGACTTTCTGTGGCAATCTGTGCAACGTAGACAAACAGAAAGTCGCGTTTCTTTTCTTAGAAATGTTAGAGCCACTGGGTCAAGCTGAATATTGCATCTGTTCGATAAGTCCATGTTCCACATTTCACACAGCGAGTTTTTAAATAATCTCTCCGCTTTATAGTTCGTGCCAGTGACTCATCCAATCAGTCTGAATTAGTCTTAATTTATTGCAAATTGAAGACCATGAAACTAACTTTCAGGAGGGTAGGGAAGGCTGTTTGATATTTGCTTTTTGGGGCATTTTTACAGATAGGTTTAGTACATGACCTAAAGCAGCATTTTCAGTCTTTATCTTGCAGTGAAAACTTACAGGGTGGGCTTGGTATCTGCAAAGAGCTAAAAATGACTTCATCAGAAATGATCTGAAAGGATAAAAAAATCACTTGAACTGTGCCACATCAACGCACTCCTCACTCTTCTGCATTTTTGGCAAAAAGTTTAAGTACTCTTAAAGGGTAATTAAGTAAGCTTCTCACCCCTCATGCTGCTCCAGGAAAGCTGCCCCAGACTTCCCACCCCTCTGGCAATCAGGGATTTTATATCTAGACTGTGCACGTTCGGCTTATACCCTCTCATGGTCACACCGGTGTTCTTTTAAAGTCAAATAGCATTTCGCACTTGGGTGTTTCTGTCCCAGACAGGCTGACAGTGAATGTCTGTGGGACTTCAGCAGATGTAAAACCAGCAGCCTTCCAGCCCTCCCTGCAGAAACCAGTTCTCCTCCCGGGGCTGGTGATGGTGGCCCCATTTTTGGGGACCATTTTGTAACTCTCACTGCTGGGTGAAAGAAACCCTCCGGGTAGGGCTAGAAACCTCCTGCCCCAGCAGCCCAGGTGAGACAACTTACTGTACACACTGCAGGACCTTTTGCAAGTCATTTTCTTCTTCCCATTAAAAAAAAATAAAATTAAAAAAAGCTTGTTTCATTGCTAGACATAGCCAAGGACATGAGAAGAGATGCCCTGCTCAGACGGGCGTGCTGCAGGGATTTTAGCTCTGGCCACGCTTCATTTATTTTCTCTGGGTGCTGCAATTCATTGCCCACATTCATTCATTTATTTATTCTGGGTGCTGCTCTCAGGGCCGTGGGCATCGCCTGCTGAGGGAGGTGCCACCGGCACCGGCTTCTTCCTGTGAGGAGAAACTTCTGCCAGTGCTAAAAAGGAGACAAACACACAAAAAGAAAAGGGATGTGCGTATACACAGAACGGGCCATTTTACTGAATTTTACTTCTAAAGATCTGAAACTCTTCAGAAGGTTTTTTCTACATGCTTGAGTTTAGCTCATTGAAAGCGAGCCCGCCCAGCAGGCCCTTCACTCTGCATCTTTCTCTTATGCTCAGGCCTCATCACAGACCACGCTGGCTCAAGCCTATTTATTCTCCTCGCCCATTTCCCCAAGGCAGACTGCGGGGAAAGCACGTTCAGCCTTCCAGATAACTTATTTATAACCCGCCAGCAGTGAGTAAGTGCCTCCAACCTTCTGCTTGTCATAAACGTGTTCATCACCCTCTCCTATCAGCTCCTTTCCAGCACAGACGTGTGATTTCTTGCCTCGGCACCACAGTGCTGGGCAGCAGAGGGGAGGAGCGGTGCCCACTCCGTCTGAGCTCCCCACCTGGGCAGGACCCCAGAAATCCTGCTCTCATTTGGTCTTTTTTTTAAAAAAAAATATATATATATATATTTTTTTTTGAAGGCATATGGTTTATTTTGGGAATTAAAGCTTCTTGACCCAAGTGCTTAAGTAAATACTTGCAGCAAAACGTGGCATTGTTGGACCCGCTGTGAACTCCCTGAAGTGGTAGCAAGCCCTGCAGGTTCACAATGCATTTCCAGTACAGCACCAAGGAGATATTTCATGCCTTACGAGAGGAGGTTCTGTAACAAAAAGAATGGATTTTCATCAACTTGTGCTTTTGCTGAATGCAAATAATAACCTCCAGGCTGGGGTCGTGCTTGTCATCAGTGCTGGCGGGGACACTGAGCGGAAGCCTGTGCGGTGCCCGTTCAGCAGCCCCTGCGAGCAGTCCTAGTTCCCAGAGAGAGATAGTTTCGGGAAGTGGCCGGTTTTGTTACGTTACTGACCGCTGTAGAAGTAAAACCACTGCTAGAAGGGAGATGGTGACCTGCCCTACAAAGGCACGAATTAGGTCAGTGCTGTTGGGCTCTTTCAGCTTTGCCTTACCTTAAAAAAAAAAAAAAAAGAGAGAGAGAGAGAAAGAGACAGAGAAAAACACCCCCAAAACTGCCAATAATAATAATAATAATAATAATAATAATAATCAGCACCACCACAACTCACACCATGCCCTGGTCATTAGGCTGCTGGTACAGGACTGGGGTTCCCACTGTCGGATCGCAAACCTCCCACCAGCGTCCTCAGCCGAGACTGGTATGCACGGGAGGACGTCTGTGCAATACCAAGAGATGTGTGGCCGCTGCATGGGGAGGCCTTTGGGTTTTCTTTTGTGCGAGACACTTTGGGGTTTCATTTGTGTGAGTCGGGGGTCACTGTGACTGGCAGTTTGGGGAAAGAAATGGCATTTACTCCTTTACGCAAGTGGAGGCAGAAGGTGCTGAGCAGGGTGGAATCCATCTGTTGCTTTCCATATGAAATATAGACATATTTTTTCACCCTACCTATCCAGCCATAACAACACCATCCAGACTTGAACTGTGATATGGGAGATTCAGGTTAGGCAGCAGGGGAACTTCCCACCTGGCAGCACACCAAGGCTCTGGCCTCCGGCAAGGTGTAATGTGTCCAGCACTAGGGGCTAAAGAGGAAGATTTAGAGGGGAAAAAAAATCTGTGGGTAAAGAAAACCTGGCCCTGGGGAACAGGAATGGGCAAAGTGATCAGTCCCAGTCCCAGCAGGCTGCTTTCTGTGATATGTGTAGGTTTGTGTTTCAAAGGGAGAAACTGAAGCCGTATCATGGTGATTATTGAATAAGTGTGTGGCTGTGGCTCGTGGAGTCACCGGGTGTGGAAAGGAGGGGACGAGCAGGTGCATCGCTGGCAGCTGTTCTACCAGAAGCAGAGCAGAGAGGTCCGGCATTATGGGGGCTCACGGGTTGCTCTCGGGGCTGTGTTGCAGGCTGGACACCGCGGAGTCATGGCACAGCTGGAGCTGCTGTGGGCGGCTGCCGCACTGATGCTGCTCGGGGCGGCTGTCAGCGCCTGCGTCAGGTGCCAGCTCTCCGGTAAGGTGCTGCCGTGGGCACGGGGACCCCGGGGCTGGCCGGGAGGGTGCTTTCCTTCTGGGGTGTCCCCTCAGCATGGGGGGGTGCTGGGTGCCAGCAGCCTGGGAGGCTGCAGGATGGGGCTGGGGTCCCCACAAAGAGTTTCCTGAATGCGTTTCAGCAGTCCTTCCCTTTCTGATCTCAAAGGCCTGCGTCACCCTTTTGTAAGAGCTTTCTTTCTTTCTTTTCTTTCAGGTACAAAGCGAGAAAAGAAGCAGAACAAGCAGACAAATCAGTAAGTTGCCTTTTGCCATAATGTTTCTCCCCAAAACTGCTTGTGAGACCCTGGCCAGACCCAGCCCCACTGCATGCCCTGCACATCCACCTGGGCAGTGCTCCTCCGATATCTGGACCTCACATGAAATAATACATACATATATATATTTATTATTTAACTATATTTATGAACATGTTATGTATCTTCTATATATCTGTACCCCAGCTCTGCTGCCGGCAGTGCACAAGGCAGCGTGCCCCAGTAAAGGGGGAACGCCGTCACAAGGAACAACCCGAAATGAAGCTGTGCCCATGAGGTCCGTGAGTCAGTAACCCAGTGGAAAAATGTCTGGAAAAATAGGAAGGGCACATCCCTGCCTTGTCCTGTCATGGATGGGACAGGGAGAGACGCATGGCTCCACAGGCCGGTGCTGGTGGGGACGCATGCCAGAGCCAGCCCCCACAGCTGCAGCTCGAACAGGGAAGGAAACACGACCATGCACGCGCACACCCCCTTATTTCCTTCGCTAACAGACAAACCACAGCTAAATGATATTATAAAAAAAAAAAAAAGCCACCACTTTTTTAACCTTTGATAAAGGAGCGAGCATGGTGTGAAGGGGCTCTGTCAGAGGCCAGGCTGCCCGGCAGCGGGGCTTTGTGTCCTTCAGGGAGCGACGCGTGAGCCACTGATGGCTCCGTCCCACCTGCGCTGTTGTCCTGGCTTGTTGGAATTTGTGCCTGGATTCAGTTGGATTTGTGCCTGGATTTTGGGCTTATGGTGTCCCCAACGACATCTTCCTCACCCCTGGGTCTTTCCCTGGGCTGGTGTCGGCTGCGCTGCCCACGGGCCTCAAGCACATCTCTGCTGCGGAGGCCCACACGGAGGAGGCCCCAAGGGAGGCGGAGGGGAAGAATGGCCTCAGGGCCACCTCGGGTCTGTGTGGTCTGCAGCACCGGGTCTATTTTCCATGTCGTGCACCCCACGGTTCAGCTGACGTGGTGCCTCTGTCTTTTCCAGGCTCGGAAGCCAGCAGACCTTTGAGGTGATTCGGTCCCACTCCAGTGAGTACTGCCCTTGCAGGGGCTTGGGGTGGGGGCTCTGCAGGCACGGGGCGAGGCTGTGTGAAAATAAAAAGGTGACCACAAAGCCAGGCAGCCGCTGGCAGTGTGGAAGCCTCCTCAGGCACTTCTGGGCGTGTGGATTCCAAACTCTGACAAAAACCTCCGTTTCCATTGAGAACAGATCACTAAAACCATGGAAGCGCAGGAGGTTTGGGCCCCTGACAGCACGCTGCTGGCGCCGGGGGGGAGCCCCGAGCGATAGCAGTGACTCATCCGTCATCGCCCTCTTGCTGCTTCCTGCGGTGGGGCTGGTTGCGTGCTGACCTTTTGGTTTCTACCCTGACCGAGCCGCTGGCAGGGCTGCAGAAAATGTCACCGGCCCTGCCCGGCCCTGTCCCACTAGGCCGCAGCGAGTGTCCTCGCCATCCCAGCTAAAGCTGAGGGCCCGTCGGTGCAGCTCGGCTGGGCAGAAAGGGTGCTGAGCAGGCAACAGGCCCCCAAATTGAGCGTGTTTGGGGGAGAATAGGAAATAAGGCAGCGATTAGGATTGTGGCTTCCTCTGATGTGTTTGCTAGCTCTGCTGCCTGCACAGGCAGCGCGTTTCTCTCTACTCGCTTCCCGTTTGGGCCTTGGTGTGCCCTTGAGGAACAATTTGGAAGCTGTTTCAGGGCACGTTAGAGAAACGCTTGCTAATACTGGGGAATTCACTGCGTTGGATGCTCCATGCTCGTGCTGTAAGATCTGCTGCCCTTGTCATTAACATCTCGTTTTGTTCTTAGTGCTAGCTGTAACGCGAAGGCTAGACCAGATTAAGGAACCTGAAAACTTCACCATAACAAGGTAGGTAACAAAAAAACACACAACAAGGCATAACCTAGCTGTAGAGGCAAGCTTGGATGAAGTTTACCCAACGTATGAGAATGCCGAGGATTTGGGACTGGGTGCCGTGCCTTGTAAGTGAGGCTTGGGTTGTGCTTGCTGGTCAGTCGTGGGTTTAGTCTTTTTCTGGATTTTCTTCAGCCCACCTGCATCTTACTCGTAGTATTGAAGTCAAACCCAAGGAAACGGGCCGTGGTAGTCTGTAACAGGTACACCACAAAAAAGAACCTGCTGTTCTTTGCTTCGAAGCAGTTTGACATAAGAGATCCCCTCCTGCCCACCACCAGTGCCCCAGGAAGCAGGGCAGCAATTGCTGCACTACCCAGGCGTGGTCATCCCCACCTTGGGGTTTCACCCCAAACCCGCCAGCTCGATGCATTTCCTGTTGCAAACAGACAAGGGGGTTTCACGGACAGAGGTTTTCCTGCGGTTTGCTCAGAGCTGAGGATTTAGCTCCCTTCTCCTGCAAGCCCCAGCTACAAACAACGCATTAGCCCAGTGGTACCTGCAGACTCACGCAATGCTCGCTCTCTTTCAGGAAAGCCCACGAGGAGCTCGGTGCCTCCCGTCCCTTTGGCATTGGTGAGTATCTCTGCCGGGACGCCTGCCTGCTCGGTGGGCTCCGTGCCCACATGGCAGTGGGGACAGACCAGCCACAGAATTCCTGGGTGGGGATGTAGTGAATCTGTGCTTGGTTACATAGCAGGGAGCTCCCTTTGTGTCTACACAGGGACGCTCAATAAGAATTGGATCTGAGGGTAAATCCAGGCTGATTTGCTGTCTTGCTGGTTCTGCTTAGAGCCGTGGGGCTGGATAATCCAAAATCTGCCCCCAGCTGTTCCTGCTGTGTCTGTGCTGTCTGTGCAGCCAGTGCTGGGTGTCCCCTGCCCGTGTCCCCCCATAACATCTCCCTGTGTTTTATCCCAGATAGCAGGACCGAGCCCCGGTACCAGAACTTCCTGACAGGTATGTGCCACGTGGGTGGCTTCGGGGGCTTGGGGTGGCTCACAGTGGGCATCAGGTGGGTTTTGGGGCTTGCTGTCTGCCAGGGCCATCTGCTATAGCCAGGCTTGGAAAATGTTGGGGTTTTGAGTTTATGCAACCAGTGTGCTAACAGGAAATCCCTTGTGCTTGCAGAGGACTACCTGTGCGAGGACGCTGCCTACGTGTAAGTGACCGCAGTTGCTCACCACTGCTCGGAGGGCCATGGGCCTCCCTGAGCAGCCGCGGCTGAGCGAAGTTTTCCTTCTTGCAGGGAGCCCATCCCTGTGGCTTTCTATGAGCATGCCAAGTGCTTCACCTCACCCAAAGGTAAGGTCTCTATGTGAGCACCACCACAGCCTCCAGCATGGTGTGCTGGCTGCCCTGTGGTTGTAGGGAGCCCACAGCACTGCCCCTCTCCACTTCGCTGCCCCGTCACCATTTGGCCTGAGGCAGGCACAGTACAGGGGGTGCCTTGCACCAAAAGGAGGGCTTCGAATGTTTTGTGTGCTTGGCTTATGGGGACAGGGAGTGAAGGTGCAGCGAAACACACTGCTCCATTCAAAGGCACCTTTTCCAGGCAAATATTGCATCCGTGAGACATTCTTGCCTCCCTGGGCACTCAGCGTTTCACGGTGCTGGCTTGCGCATCAGTCTGTTACCCGAAATGAACTTCAGAATGCAAATCCTATTTTTTATTTAAAGAGATTGAGGGGAAGAGGGAAAAAAAAGAAAAAAGAAAAAAAATATTATTTACCAAAAAAAGTACCTTATTCCAAAAAACAAACAAACAAACAAAACAACCCTTGTGTGGCTCAGCTGCCCACAGGCACATCCAGAGAGCTGACCTGCACAGGCTGTCCCCAAACCCGACACTTTTTAGTCTATGGCAGGTTTTGTTGTGGCCAACAGCCCTCTCCTGCAGGCAGCTGACAGCAAAGCACAAAGCCCAGTGGGGGCTGTGCCCTTCCCGCACTGCTCCTGCTTCCCTACACCCTTTTTCTCCCTTTCTTCTCTCTGCCAGCCAAAGAGGAGGACTCCCATTCCTACCAGAATGTCTTCATTGGGGACACGTGTGGCTCTGGGCTGGGTACGTGCAGCGCTTCGTGCCGAGATTCATCGCGGTTTAGTCCCCAGCTCGGGTTGCTCATTGCTGCCAGCACAAGGCGCTGGACCACAGGGGCTTTGGGCTTCCGTCCTGGGCTGTCACAATCACAAAATGAAACTGTTTTGCTTTCCTTTGGCGCTGCCCACGCCACTGTGTGGAGCGATGAGGGGAGGCAGGAGCGTGGGGCTGCCCCAAGCCCGTCCGTGCCTGCAGGAACCAGGGCTGGGAGGTGGCTGAGGCAGTGTCACCAGCCTGTGGTGGCACCGGGAAGGGGTTTCCAGGGTCTGCTTTTAGCCTGCTCACTGTTCAGCATCGTCCTGTCCGAACTCTGCTTGCTCACAGATGACGTGGATGACTACGAGAACAGCCCGGCGATACACGCCTGGAAAAGCGAGCAAAGTGCGGGTATGTCCTCAGCAGCTGCCAATGGACTGGGCTCGTGGGTGGGGTGCCTGCTGTGCTACACCACACTCATTTTGGGATGTTTTTTCATCCATGATGAACATCTAAGTGTGCAAACTGCTGTGTACATGTGGCAGTTTTACATTTGGATGTGGAACAGGGCATTCCCAGTGCTTGCAAGGCCACCACGGCTCTGCCCATCTCGAAGCCCCTCTGAAACCCTGACGCTGTGATGTGAGGTTTCTTAGCCTGGCTACAAAAATGTGTCAATGCTGAGGGCTCACCGTGCTGGCCAAAAATGCAGTGCATATGGTGGGTGTTTCCAAATTATCCCAGTTAATGATGGGTGCTTTCCTTCTTCGTTAGCAGCGCTGTACATAGACAGCCAGGACGAGGAGCCGGACTACGTTAACACCAACCCCGCACCGGACCCCACCCTGCTGTCAAAGCAGAGGTAAGGAGAGCAAACACTTGATGAACATATTTAGGGGAGGGAGAACTGTGTTTGGGTTGTGAAACCAATTCTGAGCAGCTTTGGGCCGTGTGCTGCGGGCAGGACCCCCAGCCCCCGCTGGTTTGTGCAGTGCGGGGGCAGAGCACAGCAAGGGGTCCCCTGGAGCCCCGGCTGGTGCTGCACACCCTGCTCTGCGCTCAGCAGCAACCCGGTAGCTGCTGATACCGAGTTTCTGGAGGCAATTAAAAGCCAAAAGCATGCGCAGAGCACCCTGCAGTCTTCCTGCAGCTCTGAGCGAGTGGGTGACAAAATACAGTGTCAGTACGGAAGAAAACCAGCCCCAGAGACACCAAGCACCATGACGGGGGCTGGTTTGTGGCCCCAAATGGGCTCCCGCAGCCCTCGTGGGGAGTCTGCAGTAAATGGCAGCTGAGCCATCAGCAGAGATCAGAAAGGCAGGGGAGTGGATGTGGGTTGCTGGGAAAGGGTTAAAAAACCCACAACCATCACCGTGCTCATGTATGAGCCTGTGGTGTCTCTACAGCGTGCAGTGCTGGTCACCCTGCTCGGGACTGGAGCCCAGCTGGGACAGGTACTGGGACCAGTATCACTCCCTGCTGGGTTTTTGCTCTCCGAGCACCTGCAGGACCCAGTGGGATCATCCCTGTGCCACAAACTGCAGGTGCCAGCAGCAGGCCGACCCCAGATGGGATTTTTTTGAAACCATGCAAAGTATTTAAGGCTTGCCATCACCATCCAAAGCCCAGACGCCCTGTTCTTAGTGTTGCAGCATTTGTTTGAACCTCAGCAGCCCATCCTCAGCAGCATTTGCTCTTACAACCACTGCTGGCGGGGTGCTGTGCCCAGGCAAGGTTGTGCTTTTTGGCCAAGGACTTTGCCGTGTGTCACTCGGGTCGCATCCCAACAGCACACACACGTGGTGCGGCCAGCAGCAAATACAGCTGGGTCTGCTGCACACCTGGCGTGGGGACCTGTGGCCCAGCATCTCTGCCGGGACGGGGACGGCACCTGTGTGTTGTGGTTTAACACCACGCCAGCTGCCTGCACGAGCCCCGGTGTGAGCAACGTGCTCAGCACCTCCCTTTTGCTTGAGCTGGGGTGAACCGAGATTGTGCTGTAGCAATGGGCTGCTACAGAGAGGGCTGCAGAGCTCGCTTTGTTTGCCTTTTGGAAGGTGGTTACGGAATAGCCAGGCACCACGACAGCTGAGTGTCTGCAGGGAAGGAAGCAAGCCAGGTTATCCCTGAAATAAATGAAAGGGCTGTAATGGTGACTTCTATAAGCATTCTGCATTTATTCCTCTTCCACGGAGAAATTTCAGGGCTGAAGGGATTACAGCTGTGCATTAGTCACAGCAGACCTCCTGCTTTTTGCTCTGCTGACGTCTGCACAGCACTGGGCACACCAGGCTGCTCCATCTGCTGTTTGTAACGGGACAATGCCCGCTTCACCTGGAGATGGGAGAGGAACAAACAGGGCTGAGTGATGCCCAAAACCTTTAGCACAGCTCCTGTAATGACCCCTCCTGATTTTGTGGAGAGCAACAATCACAGCAGCACCAGGGCTACCACAAATAGACCCCTAGATGTGATAAGGAGTGCTGGGAAGCCAGAAGAGGGAGGGATTGCTGTCCTGAGGAGTCCTGGTGATGCAGATTTTCTGGGAAGACCTCCGATCATAAGCCCTGGCAGAATGCTACCATGTGTAAATTACTTCTGGTGGCTCTGTCAGTAAATTAAACTTGACGATGCACTTTTTGCCATTATAACAATGCCTCCATTACAGATTTTGCTAGCAGAGCTGTGCTATGCAATCCCCATGCCCAGCCACAATGGGTCTGCCACTGAGGGAGGATGGGTTCAGAAATGGGCAGCCGGCCCCGCTGTGCTCTCTGCTCTGGGGCTGCTGCCCAGACCTGCACGTTCTGCAGTGCTTCAGGGGTCTGCTTCCCTGCCTGGGAAGGAAATGCAACAGGCATTTGAAAGTGGGGACTAAAAGTCAGTGGACTCACTGTTTTCCCCTTCCTCTTTTTAGTAAACTGCGTAAAGTCTGAAGGAGCCCTTCGCCGAGCTGTAAGGGCACACCCAGCCAGCATGTACATAGGGAAGGAGGAGTCTTCGATCCCGCAGTGAAATCTCCAGATTGTGCCCAAGATCATGTGGAACTGGTGCCGCTGAGAGGAGGAAAGGCTCTGCTTGAAGTCCAGCTGCAGACGTGTGTTGGAGGGAGCGCTCTGCCTGGCAGTGAAGCCTGGCCGACCCCTTCAGCGGCTCCCTCGGGCACGCCACGAGCTCGTTATCCTGTCTCACTTCCCTGCACGTCTGCTGGAGGGAGGACAGCTACTCTGTGCAATGTTTTCTCCTGTCAAGCATGAAATGAATCTTTAAATTGCTGAGCGGTAATGCAGCCAACTACTTAATTTGTCAGGCTGACTCATGCACGATGGCATTCGAACGCGGGGATTATGTTCTGATTTAGTTCCTCTGCTCTCCTGCAGAAGCTGTTTCCTACAGGAGAGGAACTGGCAAGGCAGAGGTTGCTTTTACGGCAGCAGTGGTTCTCTGGAGCTAAATGAGATACCAAACTGTTCACAAAAGCTAAGGACTAAAGAGGATTAAATCCTCATCTTATTCACAGCTCGTAATTCCCAGTGTCTGTGGCAGTTCTCCTTGTGTTTCGTTATCTGTTTTATAACGATACAAAGGCACTGCAACAACTGACAAGGTCGGATCCACTGCTGTCAGCCTCAGAAATTGCACTGGTCCTTCAGATTTGCCATAGGAACATCAGTTCTGAAACATAACCCTTGTCTCTTGAGCCCTCATGTCTAGATTTGGCTCTGTCATAGCACTTATTTATTAAAATTGAAAAACCTCCAAAGCAAATCTGGCGTTTTATTATGGTTTGCTATGATGTGTGCGTTGTCTTTGTGATCGAGCGAGACAGGCTGAGATGGGAGCACGTGTAGAAATGACACCGAATGGTGTGCAGGATCCTGCAGGGAGAAAACAGAGCTCCACAAAGCCTCGTTCCTCAAAATTGGTTTGGAAAACCATGCTTCAAGAAGGGCAGAGGCCCACAGCACTCGTCTCCAGGACTGGTAAGAATGAGAAGAGGAGCTAAGGGCAAGTGAGCCCTGGAGTAGGAGAAGGGGATGTCAGGTGCTTCCTGCTGCAAATGTCTCGGCTGTATTTTTAGCAGAATTGCTGAGAGCGTGGGGCCACCGCTCGTGTAGCTGAAATAGCAGGTGGTTTGGTGTTTGGCTTGGAAGCTTTACTTCTACCTCCTACAAGTGCATTTACTCCTGCTCCCGCAGGGCTTTTCCAGCAGAGAAAATAGCGCGCTTCAGGAGCTTCCCCAGGCAGAGCTATCAGCCCTACTTACCCCTCCCAGTTCAGCTTCTGCTCGTGCCCTCTTGTTTCCCGATGTTTAAATGCCCTGCAAAAAGTTTGTGTGAGTGGGGGACACTGACCACAGAGAGGAGGAATGTGCTGGCATCCCAGAGCGCCTGGAGCAGACATGGTGACAGCCACAGCCTGTGCTGGCTCTGCACAGCCTTGCAGACAGGCAAGGAGGTGAGGAGAGCCCCTTGCTGCTGACACAGAGCATCTGGCCCATGCTGGGCCACGAAGCTGCCGTCCTTGGTGACTAATTCAGCACCTGAAGAAGCTCCCACTTTTCATGAAGTGCTACAGATAAGATTTTGCAAGATCTGCTGGAGGGAAGGTGCGAGCTCCACTTTCAGTGATGTTGCACCTATTTGTGGTTCATCTCACAACCAGAGGGAGACATTAAGCACTTAAGACCCATTTATCAGCAGTAAAAGATCCTTTGGCAGGCAGCAATAGATCCAGTTAAAGGACTCCCAGAAAGTTCTAGCTGTTAGGTGAGCCAAAACACTAAAACACAGGGTTCACCGCTCTCCTTGCTAAGCAGGGAGGCAGCTCAGACCAGTTTTATTCTCCTGGCATGAGGTTCCTTCACTGCCAGACTCTGAAAGCTGCAGTGCGTAAGCAGTAGCTAGATGTGCAGCCTGTTCCCTCGCCTTACTGGGACTCAGCAAATTGCCCTCCTTCAGCTCTCCAGAACAGCCAGCTGCAGAGAGGGGTAAATCCTTCCTTAGCTCTGTAAAGCTCCTGAAGTACTTTTCAGGCAGTGATCTCATTGTGCTGGACGATGTCCAGGGACTCTTACAGTAAGTTTCATCAATGCTTCTAGTCTTGTTCTGAAAGACTTCGGGTTTTTTGTGAGGACGTACATGCGTGTTCACTGACCTGCTGTGCTTTCAGGACTCTTTTTTAGGTGCACAAGGATTATTTCTGGTGCTAAACCAAAACTGTCGGCTCCTGCGTTGCCTGACAATAATTCAAGGAGAATCGACATCTCCCATGGGTACATACAGCTCTTTTTCCTCATGTTAGGTAGGCAGCCAAGTGAGCAATGTGCTTCCTGTTTTCAATGCAGAAGACACATTAAATGCAGTTTTGGCACTGCTGGTACGGCTATCGCAAATGGACCAGGGAACCTTCACTGGCTGCTGGAAGCAGCAGCTCTGCACTCAGAGGCAGTGAGCAGTTAAATACGTGAGAACAGGCTGCACTGCTGGCCTCTCAGACTGCTGCTGCTCCTCTTACAGGGAAAGGTGAGCAAAAGGAAATCCTCCCAGTGCTGCAGAGGATTAGCTCAGGAGCGAATCAGCTCCAAATTGGAGATGAAAAGCAGCTGTTGAGTATTGTCACAAAGAAAAGCACTTAGCAGGTAGGATCAGGACCTGTGATCCTCCAGGTTTCTCACTTTCACTGGCACTGACAGCAAACCACACAACGCGCAGGTAGGTGCATCTGCTGGGGCAAGGGACAGCCTTATGAATCCTGCTAATACGTTTGTTATTTTATGAAGCTGCCACTGTAAAACCTCTTCTTTCTATTTGGCAGTGAACATATTTAACTAGGAGAAGGCAGAGCAGGCTGTCTGTGATGTACAGATGAGGGAAAATCAGTCTAGTGTTTAAATAACGTGTCTTATTTAAGCTTTGGCAAACAAAAGCGATGATGTGTCTGTAAAGGACTCAGTGGCTTAATCATCTTAGTGCATTGTTATATATTTAGCAGTGTTTGTGCTAGTGTTAACAATTCAGTAACTCGGAACCAAACTTACCCCAGTCGGGCTAAAATCTAGTGAAAGGAGAATGTACTTTGAGTATTGCGTCCATTATTCCAAGAACTGCTTCCTTTATTCCATTCAGGAGCAACCTCAAACATGCCTGTGCTTTAGCTGTCGATTATCTTGCTTTCCTGCACTTTTGAGTTAAAAAAAGAGTTGTCTTAAAGCTCTGTCAGAGGGGCTGCAGAGCTCTGATGGCACAACTTACAATGCTGCCAGCCCTTGCTGCTGAAACTCCTCACCCCTGTGGCTGAGTTGGAGAAAAGGAGGGTGTAACCAGTGCTGGGGCCGGTCCTTAGACTGAAGCTGCCTGCAGAGGTGAATTTGGTGCTGAAACAATGTGGTTTGGGCAACTGGCTGCTGGGGGTGGTATCTTCAACACAAGGGGCAGGGAGAAGAGCAGGCACCAGTAACTTGTACTCCTACCGTGTTTTGTTTGACTGCTGTAACAACATGCTTCGTTAAGAGCTCTGCTTACAGAAATATATCTGACACCTGATATGGAGGTGGTCAAACTTAATTTATATTTGTTTCTGCATTTCACACTTTATTGCTCTTCTGCACTTGCGGGGTGGTTTCCAAATCTAAGCAGAGAGGAAATCATGATGCTGTAGTTTTTTGGTATGTTGAAATTACTGTAAAATATTACCTAACCTGGACAAGCAAAAACAGAGAACACAAATGCAGAGCGTCCCAGAACTTGGTGTATTTTTTTTTTTAAAGATTACAGGTGGAGTGTCCAAAATAAATAGCTGGCATCATCAAGAAATGTATATTTCTTCCGTACATGTTTGGTGGAAACACCTTCCTCGTCCCAGCACATGAAGAGCACCCAGAAATGGCACCTCCACAGCATGCCTCGATTGTAACTCAGCCACGGCTCTGTCTGTGCAAAAGTTTTTTCTTGGTCTCAGTGAGACCACAACTCTTGATCAACCATAAGGTGTAATCACTAACAAGGGGATTGATATTTTGTCTCTCCTGCTGTTAGGTCTTGGTATCATTACCCACAAGCATTTTTGCTGAGTACTAGAGAGACGTTATTGCTTCTCCTTTCTGGCCTGCCACAGTCCTTTCTACCTCAATTACACAACAGGCAGAAGTTCCTGGGTTAAAGATTTCAAAGCTTTATTGATCAAATAAAAAAAAAAATACAAGTTATTTTACAATAGAATCTGGTTATTTTTCTGGGATTTAGCAAAACCAGGGGGACAGAATTCATGACACACACACAGCTGCCGACCTTGCATGTCTTCACCTTCCAGAAGAGGGGTTTCAGCTCGATCCGGTATCTAACTTGCTGCAGGGGCTGCCGTCTTCTGACACAGCCTGGCCAACAGTCCGGCCATTTGCAAAAGCGAGTTCACACCTTCTGCTATTTTCATGTGCGTGTAGCCAATTTCCTGATGAGGAAAACGTTGTCAAACCTTCTGTTTTTTTCCCACAGTCTGTATGGTGTGACTAATAACACTCCTCTAAATAGAACATATCCCTTACTGCTAAGAAACTATCTTCAGAGTCACGTAAAGATTTAAAAAAAAAAAAAAAAAAATTTTTTGGCAAGACTATTACGTTCCCATGTAGACCAATTAGATCAATTTTTATTTATTTATTTTTGTAATTGAAGCCTGTGCTTCCCCATATTTTTTTTTTTGTGTAAGGAGCAAGGTGCTTGTATCTGACGACAGGTTTTAAATCTTAAGAGTGATTCCATTATACCAGTTCACCATTTGTCAACTGGCTGTTAAAATCATTTAATATTTTACTATCCATTGGACTAAAATCTAGTATGCTCTTCAAGAAAGTTCTTAAGGAGCTTTTAGAGGCTTTGATAGAAATAGTAAGTTCAGGAGCATTGCATTTGTTATTAATCCATCGCTGAAACACTGACCTTGATAAATTCCAGTTTCAGATATTCGGGCATTTGAAAGGTTTTGCACACACGGAAGATATTACCAATCACATCTTCTGGAGAGTATCCAAGTCTCCACAGGTGAGCAAGAATCTGTGCAAGAAAGAATAATCCCTTGTTTATCTGCAAAACCTAGCAGGTGAGTGAAGTACATTTGGTTTTGGGACAGCTGTATACAGCTAGTGAAAATATATGTACTACTTATCCAGCAATTTAACATCAATTCTGTTTAGCAAGTAATTTCAAAACTATTTGTTCTCCCCCCCTCCCCCTTTTTCTTTTAGCTTGATGGATTATTCATCTGAACAAACTGCTGGATAAAAACGGGACTTAATTTATTAATTCATATACATGGTTTTGCCCTTATTCTAAAGAGCAATGTACACCAAATTCTTCAGAGCAGGCGTTTTTTAAATAAAGGTGTCTGCAGAGACAAAACCCATGAAAGCCAACCTTGTATGCTTCATCAATATTTGCATTTATGCAGTGCTGTATCATTTCTTTCACAAGCAGAGGATGAGGCTCATCGCATACCTGTATCAAAGAGAAATATTACACTTTAATATGGGATGTTCTAGTATTTTAAAGCCCCAAGTATTTTCACCAAGTTTCTGTACAGCTGAAATACTGAATCAGACACATCTTACAATCCAAATTAGATTGATTACATTGTAAGTAATATGACTTCTCTGATAACATACATGTAGCTATCCTACCACAGTGCACTCAATAGCACTACATGAGAACACAAGTAAGATTCAAGTTATCACTGTGAAATTTCCCAGCAGTTAGGTGATCCATGTGCTTTGA